GCTACAGTGTTGTAAGCATTATTGTGTGGTTATGACTCATCATTATTTAAATTTACAAGTTTCTTATTGCATTCACTAGCCCTTAGCTTTTGCAGAGGGATACCAAGAAAAGTAGCCATGTAGAGGACACATACAGTGATGACTATGTATCATGTTTTGCTATATGTAGGTACATGTACTGGTGACAATGTACAATTTAAATATCACCACAGCAGGGAATCCAAAGAAACACTAAGGAAATCACTGTACTAAAAATTATATTATGGCAAAAGTGGAAACATGTGTTACATAATATGTTATTACATATACAAATATGTTACAGAGCACCTGATTATGACATCGAACATGTAAACAAGCTAAATTCACTACTAACATGGGCAACATTCTGCTCAAACGCTTTTATCTTTCTTGGTGACTTCAGTCTACTTCATATTAACTGGACCCTAAATGAATGTACAGCTGAACCCATACATGCAACCTTCTACAATGCTGTTACAAATCTGGGACTGGAACAACTAGTAACCAACAATACTAGACTTAACAAGTGCCTCGATCTCATCTTCTGCAATAGTTTGAATTTAATTTATGGAATACAAACTAAAGAACCCTTTTCCAACAGTGACCACAATATGATTGACTTTTGTCTCAACATACTTCCACACAAAAATCATCATAAAGATGGGACCCCCAATTATAACTTCAAAAAAGGCAACTATGATCTTATAGACAACGATCTCTCATCCCTTGATTGGCAATCTCTATTCACTGGATGCAATACTGTTGAAGACCATTACAACATATTTTTACTTGAAGTCAAAACAGTCATCAAACTATATATACCAATAACAACTTCCAAAAACAAACAAAAACCAGATTACCCATAACAATAAGGAAACTTCAATCCAAAAAGAGATCACTCTGGCAAAAAAACAAATCTGGTCACATTGCCAACTTCAAAAGCCAATATAAAAATTTATGCCACCAGATAAAGACTGAATGCACCAATTATCACATTAAACAAGAGGAAAACCTTCTATGCACCAATTCCACCCACGCTTTTTACAATTTTGTAAACAACAAACTAAAAGACTCCATCCCATCCCTGATAGGACCTAATGGTAAAGACTGCAACAAAGACACCATTAAAGCCAACCTCTTTAACACATTCTTTGGCTCAGTATTTGTAAACAGCAATGGATCATACCCAGTATTTCCTAGCTGAACCACAGAAAACTATAATGATATAATACACATCGATTTTACAGAAGACAATGTTGAAAAAGAACTACACAATCTAAAACCATCTCTATCTATTGGACCAGACGGAATATGTGCCTACTTCTTAAAAAAGCTATCCACTGCCATAGCCAAACCTCTAAGCATAATCTTTGAAAAATCTTTCAGGACCAGCTCCTTGCCTAACCTATGGTCACAAGCCACGGTCATCCCATCTTCAAAAAGGGAGACCCCAGCCTAGTTGAAAATTACAGACCAATCTCCTTATGCTGCGTCACCTGTAAAGTCATGGAATCAATTATTAACCAATCCATTATCCTCCACTTAGAGACAAACAACCTACTCTCTAATAAACAATTTGGTTTCAGAAAAAAAACTACCCTGTAATCTGCAACTCTTACACTGCAAAAACATATGGACTACACAACTCGATCAGGGCAAAGCAATAGACGCAATCTACATAGACTTCTGTAAAGCCTTTGATTCAGTGGTACATGACTTACTACTTCTAAAACTAAAATCTTATGGTATCTCTGGACAACTGCACAGCTGGATAGAAGCATTCCTGTCAAACACAACAAATGGTCAAAATTGGGAGTGTCCTATCAAATTCTGTACCTGTCAATAGTAGTGTCCCTCAAGGCAGAGTTCTAGGACCAACTCTTTTCATACTCTACATAAATGACCTCTGTGATCATATTAAGAGCAACTGCGTTCTCTTCGCTCATGATGTAAAGTTATTCAACACCACAGACAATACTGCTACCGTTCAAAAAGATCTTGACTATGTATCAGAATGGTCAAACAAATGGCAACTTCAAATCTCAACAAATAAATGCTCTGTCTTACATATTGGCAAAAAAAATCAGAAAATGAAATAAAAACTGAATAGTCAAGACCTTGTTGATGATCCAAGCTCTGTAAAGGACCTTGGAATACCCACCTCTAACGATCTAAGTGCTAGAGCCCACTGTAACTATATAGCCAAAAAGGCATTAAGAGTTGTTAACCTAATCCTATGTAGCTTTTTCTCTGGTAATATCACACTACTGACTAGAGCATATAAAACATTTGCTAGACCAATACTCGAATACAGCTCATCAGTCTGGAACCCACATTACGTATCTGATATTAGCACAGTTGAGAAAGTCCAGAAATATTTCACAAGAAGAGTTCTCCACTCCTCTACTCGTTGTATAGAATATGTTATGCCACCAGACGTGAAATTCTAGACCTAGAAAACCTTGAATTACGCCATCTTCAGTCTGATCTAAGTATGGTATATAAAATCATACATTGCAATGACTTACCTGTCAATGAATACTTCAACTTCAACCATAACAACACAAGGGCACACAATAGATACAAATTCAAGGTTAACCGCACCAAACTTGATTGCAGGAAATACGACTTCAGCAACAGAGTGGTCAATGTCTGGAATACTCTACCTGACTCTGTGGTTTCTTCCCCAAACCCCCAAAACTTTAACCTTAGACTGTCTACTATTGACCTCACCCCTTTCCTAAGAGGTCTGTAGGGGGCATGCATAAGCGCACCAACGTGCCTACTGTCCCTGTCCTATTGTTTCTTTTATTTTTCTTATATGTACCCATTTCATGTATTCATAACTATGTATATACTGATACCCATTATCTTGTAAGCAATTGACAAATCAAAATAAATCAAAGTAAATAAATAAAAAAATAAAAAAACATACTAAAATAAATGAAGCTGGTGAGGCAGGAACAATTAATTCCCATGCTAATGAGAACTGTTATAACAGTCAACCTTCCGATTTAGAAAGGCAGGAGAAAAAAGTCTAGAATTTAAACCATGGAGCACAGACTAGGATAAGGTTTTTATTTTTATATGTTGCAGTGGGCAAAGGCAGTGACTAGATGGCTTCATTATTCTTCCTGTTAAAGAGGCTAATCTTGGTATACTGTCTCTGAGAGCCTTCTGCCAGTAAGACAATTCCTGAATGAAGGGTTAAGAATCTGGAAAGTCAGGATTTAGTTGTATTGGTATGCTGCATGGCAACTGAGGTGTTGATTGAAGAAGAATAAATGGAAAATCACAGAGGTCAAATATACTCTTGTTGCAGCATTCTGAATAAGGGAAATCTCCCCTGTTGTGCGGAAAATGGATAGCAGCAAAGTGATAGGAATAAACCAATTGCTTTACTTATTGTATCTGAAATATGCACAAATCAAGGCAACAGTCTTTGACTGTGGCAATAGCGTCCACGGAGGGGGTGAAAACAGGTAAGTCTATGCTCTGCCCCTTTTGTGTGTGTGTTGATGTTGCATGCACATAGAAAAGTTTTAACTTTGCTGCTCTTACTTGTTTTGACCCCCTCTGTGAACGCCACTGGCAGTTGCTTTTCTAAAACGTTGACTATTTCTTAAATGAAAATATTGTGCAACCAACATAATGTGTTTACTTATCTCTAATTATAAAAACAAGATAGATAGAACATGGTCTTAAAATAAGTAAAGACAAGAAGCTTTCAGACTGCATCTCACCCATGTATTTGCTGAACCCATTGACTACAAAGGGTGATACCATTCACACTTTATTTGGGAAAGAAACCAATTATACTGGCACATATCTATAAGGCAGATATTATTTGTGTTATTTAGAAATATACAATTTATTTTTTGTAATCCAGACTGGATCTCCAAACAGAGAACATGGCTTATCATTATCATCAATGCTGTTTCCAAACATTACACACACAGAATATTTATTCAGGCAATGAAGCTTTATATCTTTGCTCCTTTTGAAAGTAACATCGAGCCAGATATCAAATGAAATTTTAATTTGAAACACATGGAATTTTAATTGTGGAGAGAAAAGAAAACTATAGCAAAAAAAAATATCTTGCCTTCTAGTTCATCCAAACAATTTCTTCATCATTCTACAATGCAATTTGGATTTTATATTCTGGGCCCCATATTTTAAAATGTGCACCAGTTTTCACAACTGATAGTCTGTCCACTTGAATATTAGCTTCAAAAGGCTTGTTGTCCATCTGTACCAAGCCCTACTCCTGGAGCTGAGTGGCACAAATTCTTTGTCAACCTCCCCACAATTCCCTCCAATTTTCTCTGGAAACCTTTGTGTCACTGGGTTTGCTGCAAATATAAACACACACACACACCTATGCTGTGTCTTCTGAAATCTGCTTTCTGAAAATGTAAATGAGGCTACCATAACACAAATCTTCAGCATGCATAACATCAGCAGCCTAACATTCATACTTTTAAAACCAAACAAAGATAGCAAACTGTTCAAGGGGACAACTGGCAGCTTCTCTAAAACAAACAAAAACTGAAAATATTTTGGTTTTGCCATGACTTCTCTGAAGTCAAGCTGGCCCTAATTTGCCCATGGCTCTCTGTTCTTTTTCTGCCATCCTTCCTATCTTTCTTTGTTCAGAAGCAGTATGTGTTCCATGAACAATAACACATGAAAGACTCTTGAGCGTCTTCCATTTTGAGGGTCAGCCAACACATTACACAGAATCTTGGTGGTTTTTGGTGAGGAATATACATTATATGTGACAATTGGCATATAACACAATCTAGGTGCCCTGCACTGTTAGTAACAATAGCTGAGAAATAAAACTATAGTTTTATTTCTTAGCTATTGTTACTAACAGTGCAGGGCACCTAATTCTAAGAGTAAATGCCACTCCATATTTGTTTCTCACCTGTTCTTCTGTATTTTAGAGCTGTCAGATTTTCCAGAATAAATCCTACCTTGTCACTGTCTACTGTATTCTGAGAAGTCCTGGATGCAATTGAAATTGTGTCAGGCTGACTACTCCCATCTCCTTGGCTGTCGGCATCTTCTCCTCCCTCTCTGCAGAGGAAAAAAACAGGAAGAAATTTCTTGAATGAATTTTAAGTGTTCAGGCACAGTGTGAAGAAGAGGTTGTTCAGCTGATCACACACGTTACAACTTAGCCTGTAATTTAGAATGCTGATGTCATCCCTACAGTGAGGTTAGTGCATAATAACCACTTTTGCTCTTTAAAACTGACTATTCCAGGTTTATATAGTGACAGCAATATATCTCAAAATAGCCCCATAATGAATGTGGCAGGCCAATGACCTGTTCTGCTTGGATTTCTCACTTAACCAAACCCAGCCATCTAAATTATAGTCTAGCTGTTTTTGCAAAACTGATGTCAATTCCTCATGTTTTGAGATTTAAATAATGATGAAGCTATCAAACTTTGAAAAATATAAAATGTGAACAAACTAATTTATTTTCCTTTTAAAATATTTCTGATAATTTGAAACGCTATGAAGTATTTTCCACCCTTCATTCCAATTTCTGTTTATAGCATGTTACTGCAAGGAACTTGAATGCTAGAACCATTTTTTATAAAAAAAAATTAGAAGACATGAATCTTGTAAAGTATGTTATCAATAATCTAATCTAATCAATACAGACTATTAATACAATGACTTCTAGGGAAGGTTAGCATCTCCTTGTCATGGGCTATTGCTTTAACATCATTCTAATCCTATCAAAACAAAGTACATAATCTGGATCCAAATAGATGGACAGATAGACTGACAGACAGAAACACACAGACAGATCTGACTAAGCATTACCTCACTAAACATAGTTTTATAAGCTAAAATCTATTTTCACCAATTATATTCCTTCCGCAAGAAGTCTATACTTGATCTACAAAGTGCGAGAGCTGTTATATATCTTATACTGGTATAGTTCACTAAGCTATGATCTGGTTTAGATTTGTGTGTGTATGTGTGTGTTTGTGGCTTATCATGGTATGTGGGTTTACTCATATTATTATTCAACAATGGTGTAAATCCAGATTGAATTTATAGTGCTGATCCACACTTTCTCTGGCAAAACAGTTGTTTTATATAGAACATTCTTTGGCAAAACAGTTGTTTTATATAGAACATTCACAAAATGATTACAATTACCTCTTACTGTTGTTCCTTTGCTTGGCTGGGGTTTTGGGGAGTTGAATTGGCTCTTTCAAAGCTCCTTTTAAATGTATAATCCTTTCTTGTATCACTTCTCGAATATTTTTAATCCATTCTTGTTTAGTTTCAATACTGGTTGCCTAAACATTTGAACAGAAAAGGCAGAAGATAGAATTACAGTATTTCTCAAGTAGGGCCCTGTATTTTGCTTCTTTTCAAAAGTTGCTTTCATTCATTTGGCCATATAACAGAACAGTTTTCCTGATAAGATAGCAAAAGTTCATGTACATTGCTAGTAAAAAAAATGCAGATAAAGGTAAAATAATATATGTATTGTGTGTGTGTGATGTATAATATGACCCTACCCAACCCAACCCAATGCAGTATACGTACACCCATATGTAATATGTACAGTATAATATTCCTATAGAGGGGAAACTGTTGTTCTTGTATTGCTAGTTTATCAAACAAAGCCTCTAAAATGACGGAGCTCTATAAAATGAACCTAGCCTTAAAAAAAAAAAAACCCGCACCATTACCACTAAGAGGCTATTTGGCATATGACAGTTTTTAAAGAAATAAATGATTATAAATAACATTTCCATCAAGTACTTTCTGCTACGATCAGTAAAAGGTAAAGAGTGTTGTTTACTTCACACTGCGTTAAAACAGCAGATCATTTCATTCTAATCTAATGAAGTTTAGGGCAATTTCCTTTCAAGATATAGATGACTATACATTATAATGTTACATCTTTTCATGAGGTCTTCCCCTAGTGGGGAAGATAGGGGATAGTTTTAAAAACCTATTGTTAAAAACCGCTAGGGTAAATTGCACAAAAATGGGAACATGGTGAAAAAACATGGCTTATGTCTAAGATCTGGTTATATAACCATGATCATTACTAGACTTACAGCCAGTTAAGCTAAATTCAAATAAAGAGAAGAGCTAGGTAAGAGCAATAATAAAATATGAATTCTTGATGAAGATAGCCTTGGAAATGGGAACAAATTAGCAGCAGCTGAAGGCTACTTCCTAATATATGGTGTATATATTGTAATATATAGGCTTTGGTGCCTATATATGCCTATCTGATATATATATATAAGATCTGAAATGGGTTTCTGTAAATATTCAGTTGAATGGGAAAAGGACTTGTGATTATTGGTCCAGAGGTTTCTATTGAAGAAAATAATTATAAAGCATTGGAGATAAAGAAAAATAATTTTGGAGACTTACTTTTAACACTGTTTTGTTATCCGAAGAGGGAGTTCGTCCAGACCATAAGGCAAACTTGCATGGATCTCCTTCCACATGCTCTGTTACTCCTAGTTCTGAGGTCTGTAAGGAAAGAAGAGATGGCTGAAACTGATATTTTCATGAATTTTTGAATGATGCTCACAGTGAGTTCACTATAATGGCCAAGTACATTTTTATACTACGAATTGAATAATAAAGTCATTTTTTTAGCCTTTATGTGTCTCCTTTAACCATTCTTACTTTAGTAAAGTACAATAAAATAAATCAATGTAAAGTGTGATCATACAGAATCAAGCAGAAAATTCGACTTATCTTCCACTCCCAACATAATAAAGGTTCTGAAGCCCATAAAAATCCTTGCAGACTTACCAGTAATTTGTTCTTGTAAACATATTTAGTATGTCCTGTAGAATCTTTTATCTCTTTGCTGAAAACTAGAGAGATTTCAAAGAGAAACAAATGTCTCTCGCGACCCTTCCGGATGAGAGATTTGGGATCCCAAACTTGGAATGAATCCTGAAGAATCAGTTCTCCCTGAACATCTAAATTTTCATCGAATCCTGTGATAAATACAAACAAAAATGAAAAAAAATAACCCTGGTAACATTGGTTTCAAAAGCCCACACTCAATCCATGGCTAAATGGAAGACTGGTCTATCTCAGTATATCAGAGGAACTACTTGGAATGTGCATCCAGATGAGACTCAAGAGTTATGGTGAAGGAATAACAGCTCTGGATGAAAATTCAAATGTAAATGAAAAAGAATTAAAGTTCCAAAAATATATTATGGAATGAGGGAGAATGGAAATAGCAAATTGGTATCCAAGGAGGATTCAGGTACTCCTGGCAATGGACAAAGTTTAACAACTGGAGATGTGTAAAGGAACCTTTAGGTATTTTTAAAAGAAGGCCCTAAGAATCAGTAATTCAGTTCATGACATGAACATTCCTAATGCTTTTTGCAATTGGATGTGGGGTTGTTTTTTTTTTTGCAATTGGATGCAAGATGCTCCAATACTGGATGTTTTAAAGAAAAGGGTGGAGAACCTTTTCTTTGAAATATTATAGGGGTTCCTACCTGAGCAGAGGGGTGGAGTAGAAGACCTCCAAGGTCCCTTCCAACTCTGCTATTCTTCATAATTATTCATTATTAACTACTTCATAGTTATCAATAAGACAGACAAATAGACATCAGCCTTATATCTACAACCTGTCCAATCCCTGCCCGTTCTCTTCCCTGGCAGATTAATATTTACTTACCTTCCAACATGCTTACATGCATGGCATCATTGGCTTTCTTAGGGACACTGAGCATCACTTCCAAACCATCCTTGAGTTCTCCTTTTCCTTCTTCACAGCATGTTAAAAGCTCCTGGAAAAAATGCATAAACAAAACCAAAACCCTGGATAAGTTTGTTTCTTTGTGATTTCAGCCAATCAGGTCATTTGCAGGATGTAAGTTAGTTTCTTCATAGCTGTGGTAATTGTGAAATACTTGACTGTGTTCTTATATACTTCAGGAACTGTGACAGCCAAGAGATGGCAAGTTCTCTTATTAAAGCAACTGCAACACTTTCATAATTAAAGGGTTATTAAGTCTGAATGTCAAGGTGTGTGAAAAGGACTGTGAAAAATAAAATTGTCTTGATTCAACACCGCAGATTTATAGATTGTGTAGTGGAGTATTGTTTCAGCTCCCCGATAACTGAGAAGATAAGGAGTTAAATATTTCTATGGAAAAGGTACTCTGACATGATATACTTAAGGTATTACTTGGCTACCTGAAATGGTCTTTTACCCAAGCCTTCCCAAGAAGGTTGGGAAGAGGGATTATTCTAATCTCCATGAAGGTCAGTATCAAGGATATGTTACTTAAATTCTACATTACTAAAGTGTTCTGTCTCACCTTTCTTCTTTCCCAAAAGATGAAAGAGTACAAA